TATGCCAAGTAAGTAGGGGTGGCTATACGGTCCGGTCCGGTTAAATTGGCCCAAATTGATCCGGTCCAGTCCGGTCTTTTTGAAAATATAAGGACAAAAGATTGGATTGGATACAGTCCGGTTTTGATCCGGTCCAGTCTTGACCCGGTCTGGTTCCAATTCGGTCTTGATTTTATATTGAACTTGTGGGAATTTGAGTGGCCTAAGGCCTGAAAGGGTGAGGAGTTGGTGAAATTTTGTACTAAGTGCAAATGTTTGTGACCGTTTATGCAAAAACTACCATTAAGTTTTGGGTGTTGAGCTCTCTTATCCAGTTTTCGATCTGGTCCCGAACGGTTTTTTACCTCAAATCTAAGCCTAAAGATTGGATTGGATTGCTTACTATTCGGTCCCGGTCAAGTCTTGATTCAGGTTATACGGTCCGGTTTCGAATAAAACCAAAAAACCCGGACCAAATAGCCAGCCCTACAAGTAAGTCACAAAAATTGCGAACCACCACCCCCCTCCCCCAAAAAAAATTGAGAGGCTTGGTGGGGAATGACTTGTATTGGTCTTTTTTCATTTTCTTGAGCACCACATCTCCGATCTTCTCCGCCACCTTCTTCAATTTGCAAGAGCTGAGCATTATAGATTTTAAGATTAGAGAGAGAGAGAAGAGGGGGCGACAGAGATCAAAACTGAAGTGTTGCTGAGTGAGACCCCGAAAAGCTAAGGGGGTTTTAAGGAGACAAAATGTATTATTGGTAGGCTTTTTAAGATCCTATAAAATTCTTATTTGTTTAATCAATGTTTTAATATCTGGACTGGTTCATATGTTGAACTGGGGAAAATATTAGTTGATGGTTCACCTGTTAATCGTTATAGAAACGTTGACAGAATCATGCATGCGGTGTAAGATAAATTACATATATAGTACACTAATATAGGAGTAAAATTATCACTTACATAAACAAATGAAAATTCATATCATCTATCACCAAGAAGTTCTAACAAAGTATTCAAACTATACCAAAAAAGAATATCGTTTGAATGAAATTCAAGTTAGTAATCAGGGTGGCAATCCGTAGTGGACGACATAAAGCTGATTAAGAGGTTGAGAAATGAAAAAAAGAAACATAAATAAATTTAGTGATTGAGGTTGGATGATCTTAGTTTATGTTAAAAAAAATTCTTAATTTTTTTTGGTTAAAATTGTGAACCAATAGACCAGTCAAGGTGGGATGGTTCAACCAGTTTCATGTCAAATCGTAAAAACCGTTGGCTCCATCTCCAATCATCCAATCAAATGAACTGAACTGCTATTGTAACTGGTTTAGTGCTTCTACTGGCCATGTCTTTAATCTGGTTTGGTTCTTATAACAATATGTTTAATTATGGGGGCTTAGAAGCTTAAATTGATTAATGTCACAAAGATTGCCTAATTCATTTCTTGGGTTTAGTCATTATGATTGTGAAACATGATTGATGGATTATATGGTTTTAGTATCTTAAATTAGCTTGAAATATGAGGATCCCTTATGTTTTTTTGATAGGTATGGAGGCTATTTGGTCTAGGGCCATGATTGTGTTTGCCTAGGGCCTCTCGCAAACCACTTACTCAGGTGGCGAGATACAGTTCTATTGAATTAGAAAACGATGTGTGAGGTTGAGGTGCCTCCAATTTTGCGAACGAAAGATGAAAAAAGAAGTGCATAAAAGACAACCTATAACTACATTTGGATGAGTGAGAGAGAGCAGAGCATGACAAGTGTTGCATTGGTTAGCTCCCCCTAGGTCTCCTAGTTATGGTCCTCGATGATCGACAACATATGAGCTGCAGATTCCTTCATCTGATCCCACCTTGTGTCGAAGCATTTGCCTGGACTAAAGGGAGATAAGGACCCTTCAGATTTCTACCTTGGGGCGTCATGTCGTCCAATCGAATGAAGTTCGAATGAATAGGATCGTCATCTCTAGCCCGATCCTAAGCGACTTGGATTTTGATCCTTGCATCTCGAAGGAGTGCAAGGTCGACTAAACTCTCATTCGAATCGAAATAAAGTGGAGGGAATCAAACATCAAACATATAAAATAAAGAACCGTATTAAAATCAAATCATCTAGTTTACATAACCATAACCCCTAGGTTTCACATACCTACAAAACTAAAGGAACTAGCTCGGCATGGGGAAGGGTTCCTTGGCGATCATCGATCGGATTGATGTCCCCAGAGAGCCACTGGAATCGGCATGCCACAACAGAGAATTAGGGGCCTATGCCACTGTTTCTGGCACTGATTCCTCTCTCTCTCTCTGTTTCGGTTTGTTTCGCTCTAGGTCAAGTGAGTCACTCTGTCAGCAGAGTAACAACCCTTTATTGACCTCTCATCTCCTCTTCCTGATTTCTATCTCTAGAGTCCTATTTATAGGTCTTTGATTAGACTTTCTTGGGATAGAAACTTGTAGCTACTGTATCATCCGGCCAATCTGAAAGCTCAAAACTTGTGGCCAGAGAATCAGGAAGCTCCTAGGTAGCTTTCTAATGAAATAGAGGTGCCACGTCAAACGACGGCTATGGATACGATTATGATCGTGGGCCACCGTTTTGGGCGCCTTTTCCTTAAGCCCTTCTTCTCTTTGAGTCCTGGCTCCAGCAACTGGATCTCGATGTCCCCTTCAGCTACCAAGTGGTCCACTAGCCTTCTTTGACTTGAAAATGCACAGAACGCTACCAGAAGCTCACTAAAAGTAACGATGTGTTACGCACCAATTAGTTGCGTCACACAATGCCAAAAGTTCAATCAAGAAGGGATAAGTAATGCATGTATAGTACTTTTCAATTGCGAACAAAAGATTGCCATAGTCAATGACCCGAGAAAATCAATGCTGCCACCAGCCCCTTGCCTCCAAACTCCATCAAAGTGAACCAATACAATACTAGTAGGGCAGAAACCATCATGGAGTTGATGAGAGAGAGAGAGAGAGAGATATGTAGTCCCAGTAGGATGACCCGAGCAAAGAGAACCCCTCCTTTACAAAGCCATTGGGTAGGAGTCGCATGCTATTCGTCAACTTGAGCTTGAAACTAGCGTAGCAAGGCAGATCCTCAATATTGAATGTGCTTATGAACCGCCCGACAACGAGATTTCCATAAACACCAACAAAGATAAAAATATTACTATAGCCTCTTGGAAGAAATGACAATTAAAGACAAAGCAGGCCAACAGACAACTTGACCATCGATTAATTAAAATAGCAATAGTTTTTATTTATTAACTTTTTCTTGTTAATAAAATTTGGCATCCTTACATAACAAACTTTCCTTTAAATAAAACTATTTTTTAAACGAAATCTGCAAATTTTATTAAGCAGAACTTGAGGCTACACTGTCCATACAAGTCGGTCAACAAGGAACACATGGCCTCTATCAAGCCAAACAATTTGATCATTCCTTCTAATTTCCGAATGTGCCATAATATGAGCAGCCATATTGCCTTCGCGGGGAGTGAGGTGACATGACCCATTCCCTATCTCATTTAAGATACATGTAATACTCCTGCAGATGATGCCAAGCTTAGTTTGAATACTCCTTGCCTCGAAAGCCTCATTATAAGGGTAAGGTTTTCGGACTCGAGCACCGGATTGTTTACATGGAATTGTCGCGCTAACCTTACCCCATCTCAGTTGCCAGTGCCTCAGCCGTGACCACATCCCATTGTCCCGGAACCTTCTTTGCTGCAAGGATGAACTTACCCTGGGAATCATGTATCACCATGCCTAGTTCGATTCCTCCACTTTCCAATATGCCTGCATCAGTATTAATCTTCACCTTCCCCGGAGTCGGTTGCTGCCAATGTTTTACGAAAGATGTCGTTTCCATCACCTCCCTTGTTTGTGTTGCTGGTAATCCTCAATGAAGGATTGCGCCCGTGTTACTATCTCTTGTTCCTCAAGTTTATGCCCATTAAACAGCGGAGCATTTCACTACTTTCAAAAGAACCAGAGTAGCACGCTCCAGCTTTCAAATCTTTCTTGCGCAACCTCATCCATAATCAGCTTGAGTGCTTGACCCATCCGTAACATTGAAGGGCGCCTCGGCGAGAGAAGCAATCAGCCAGATCGGACTTTCGCCACAACCGCGAGGTCCATTGACATTCATCGAACCGGTGCACCTGCGTCTCCTTAAGGTCATGAAATGGGAATTTGTCACTTCTTCTCTTACTTTTTGAGCTGATGTGGTCCCTCGTTGGTAGAGCATCACGAGCAAAAAGCCAGACGAAGTGCTTAAATTTTGGTGGGACTTGCATCACCCAAAGTTTTTTCCATACCCCAGCCTCTGCCACTGTTGGGACCTATTTCTCTTCCTTGAACCGCTGCAACCACTAATTATATCTTGTCTTCACCGAATATTCCCCGTTGTTAGTATCCATCTAAATTCTCCTATCCACTTCTCTGTTGTTATTCAGCGGGATCTGTTTGATCTGTTCGGCGATCTCTGACGGGAAACAGGCGTCCACCACTGCACCATCCCATTAATCCGTCTCCGGGGAAATCAGGCCGCGTACCATAGCATTGATGGGAAGAACCATGGGGCAGAATCGACGAACGATGGGTTGGAGTCCAGCAACCATTTGTCTCTCCAGACTTGTATAGACGCCCGTTCCCGATCCTCCAACTAATTCCCTCATTGAGGAGCTCTTGGGCTCATCAAATATAGCTCGGATGATGGCAAACATCAATTTTTTTAAATGCTCCAAGGATATCAATATTTTTTAGCAACTTTATTCCACTTGTAGTCGTTGTCTTATTCCATACTTGTTCAGGTATTTAAACTTAATAACAATTTCTTTTAAATGATCCAAGAATATCAATTTTTTTAGCAACTTTATTCCATTACCAACCTCCTCCTCATGGCCATGCAAGACAAGGAACTGGCCGCCCATCCCATTTTTAGCGTCACCCACCTTCTCTTTATGCGATGAGTTTGAGTTTTCTCAGCATAAGGGATGCCGTTTTCGAACCATCATCCACTCCCCATACGCTTCTCCCTCAGTAGGGTCACTCGGTTGAGTGGCAGGAACCATCTCCGCCTCCTATTCCTCTCCCATAGGCGTAGTATGTTGGTAGTGGCATTGTTGTATTTTTTTTTCCATACATCCCGCAATTGCCACATATATATATTTTCAATCCCTTCGTATTGGATCAGATATGTCACCCCTTCTATCATGAACTGAGATAAGAAGGGCTTAGTTAGATCTACTTCCACGCAAACCCTAGCATATTTTCCCCTGGCTCCCAATTCCGTTGCTCGGTCAACTGTTATTAGAGTTCCAATTGCTTCCCCAATCATCATAACAACTTCTTTGTTTATAAATTCTATCGGCAACTCAGGTAGTTGTACCTAAACCATAGTGGATTTGACCTCCGCCTTCCATGGATTGAAGCCTTTATACCACCTATGCACGGTTAGATACATCTCACCCAATAACCAAGGGTCGCCCGAGATGGCATGTTCATAGTCGAGTTTGGTCCTGAACTTCACCAAGAAACATATGTTCTTCATGTCTGAGATCTGTAGGTCACCATGTTTTGCCTAGAGATAGTACAGTCTCTTTTCTAAAGCCGAGAAGTACACCTTTCTCTCCAGACCCCTCACAACTAGCGCCGATATCCACTCCCGTCTCCACTTTATTTTCTGCGACGCCGTGAACGGTATCGTTGGGCATTTAGGATCCTCGTTCTAAATATTTGGAACATCGTCCTCCTCTTTTTCCCATTGAGCTACGTCTTCCGAATCAGAATCCTCCACATACCAATTCTCTTCCTCAATGACATAGCTGAATAGCCTAGCTGATGAGTCGTTCCACCTGTTCGTGGGGGGGCTGTGTTCGTGTGTTACCCTCCTCTGTTTCCATTCCAGTTGCACCACTGCCTACCTCAGCTTAGTTATTTGGATCAAGATTCATGGGTCGAAACTTCTTTTTTGCTTGCAACGTCTCCTTTTGCACTTTCCGTCCGGCGAAGAGGAACACGTTGGCGGCCCCTGTACCCAACTATTGATATCTGGGGGCTTACTAGTCGGCACCACCGTCCCAGACGACGGGGTGCCGCCATGATCAGTGATCACGAAGATAACCCTAGCTTTCGGCTCTTTGAACTCGGGAAAGGGTTTTGAGAAAAGTGAAGCTCACTTTCGCTCAAATAAAAAAAATAACAAAATTTAGCAAAGCCAATGATCAACAAGCATATGTTTTTTTTAATTTAAACAACTAAAGATTATAAGTGAAATCAAATAATTTATATCATTGGGTTTAATGTAATCCTCCAACAATATACAATAGAAGTTCGTCTATTTTCCTTCATTTCAAAATTTGTCTTCCTCAACCTTAAGGCTAAATTTTTAATTGAAAAATTTGTACTTAAACATATTTTTGAAAATATAATCCATTACTAAGACATGAACTCAAGTCTTTTAAGTGAAATTCAAGATTACTAGCCAATTCGACTATAACAATTTTTTTGTATGTTTCAATTAAAGTTATAAAATAAGTTATATATCTCGAAATCATAGGGTTTATTCACTGCATTACTCAAGCGTTCAAGTAACCAATGACTTTTAGTTTTCTACCAAACTCTTCATCCTGATATGCCTAGCTCTATAAAATATAAATCAACTTAATTTAATATCTCTAATCACAAACATTTTAATTGAGAATCAAACACCAAATTTTATGTTTAAATCATAAATTGATTTATGTTACATGTCTTTAATTTGCGGGAAGAGACAGATTATTCTCGAAGAGTATATAAATATTTATTTTGTTGGTCTAGCTATTATCACAGATGAGTATAAGAGAATGCAATGGTTCCGCAATAACATATTTTCAAAAGAATGACAAAAATCACTCGCTAATAATTGCACTATGGGTTGAGGATCATAACAAATAAGTGAAAGACTAAATGTCATTAGTCAATATATGTGTCCAATATCACTGACTAATCTTTGAATTAACGATTCAATGATGTATATATACGAGAAATTATATTGTGCGCTTGTTGAATTTGGGGTTATGGCATGCCCTGAGTAAAGTAATGTTATCTATACCACGAATTAATCAAAACTTGGGGTATACTATAAATGTAATCTAACTAGAGTGACTGAACCATATACCCTAATTCTCTAAATCATAATATGATGGATATGACACAAGTGATATATCTCAATAAATCAAAATCATCAATCATTGTTCTCTGAGTATTTTAACAATAATTATTGTTTGAGGATTAAATCAGACATGAAAAACGGATAGACTGATGCATATCATACAATAATGAACTAAGTGTACGTATTGGTTCAGAAATCTCGGCACAAGATCCTATATAAAAACTTACAGACCTCCACCAACTATATAAGTCAGAATTAGATAATTGAACCATATCATTAATTGGTATGCTAAATATTTGGAACTTTCAACACAATTTCATGATAAGTCTGAGCATGAGTCGATATTTCTGAGTCATTGAATGAACTTTTAAATCAAAGCATGTATTACTTACATAAACAAACAAAGACTCGGCGTTCCGTATTTGGTCGAGAAATTGTCCAACAACTAGTCCACGTTTCATAAACACACAAGAGGTGAACATTTTTCAAAGAGTGAATTAAAACAACATTGTCCAACAACGAGTTTCCCCGCAGTAGCATTAGCGATACTGGAAAGTGAAAGTGGAGGTGATCGTAGTTTTACTGACCACAGTAATATTTTCTCAGTTCCCACTTCAATCAGGAAGCCCCACTCCAGTACAGACGCACCTTCCTCCTCAAAAATCAATATGCTACTAGTAATTAATTATCATATCTCGTCCTTCTTGCCGGGCAGGTGATCCGGTTTCTTGGCCTTCCTTTGTTGCATGTACCTAATAATTTCCCTGCAAAAGTTATTCTTTGGTATATTAACAATGAAACGAATGCCATGCATGTGTAAATTAAAGGCCCCTTGTCGTGAGAAGAATAGGTATGCCATTGCCATATAGATATGAGATCATATATTCTTCCAAGTTCCTCCTACCAACCCATTCTATATCTTTGTCCCTCCGTCATAATTAAGTTGCTAAGTTACTACTCATTGGGTAGACTTATTAGGTAATTGGACTCAATTACCGTTATCCAATATAAGATATTGAATCGAACTTAAATGAACTCATAATGATTTTGGATTTGACTTGGATCTTAACTAAATTCTATCCGAGTCAAATTTGACTCACGGTCGGACCCAAATGGATCTAATTGTACTTTTAGTCTATTCATGCCCATTCGAATAACTTAATAGATACGATCTCTTCACAAATGACAGCCTCTGTAAATAGAATAAGATGACTAAGTATTGGTAAATTATGCAAGTAAGAACTATACTTACCATGGCGAAGGAAGGAACCAAACATAGTTGTGATCACCAAGACCACGACAAGGATGAAACCACTCCACCTCTCCACCACCAGCGAGATCCAAGACGCCACATTTGTTCTGGTGGCATGACCAAAACATGTCATGATTCATGAACAAACCATGCTCGGCAAAACAGAAGGAGAAGTACACCCGATTTGCACCAACCCCATAATTCACACCGTTATTATCCGCCACACCACCAAAAGCGAAGGACTGGTGAGACCCCAGAAACACAGAAAACCCATCCAAGCTCGTCACTTCCTTCCACTCAATCCCTTCGTCTCTAGAGCAAACTCCACCACCTCGCACCTGCAGCAGTACCAGCTTGTAACATCGGAACGTGACGCCACCATCCTTGGTGCAACGACTGATAATAACGAGTGGGAAATCATCCTTCTCCTCGTCGAGGTGGCACAAGTGACTGAACCTGCTTTCATCCGCCCGGTCTCCTTTATCCAACATTTCTCTTGACAGATAAAACACTTGGGAACTAGGTTTCACCTTGACGATCTGTTGTTTGTTGGTGTCGTCGCTGTGGTAGATGTTATTGTTACCAAATATGACGTCAACAACGACGAAACGATTGCCCGAACCCACGAGGAAGAGCTTGCCTCGGGAGTAGGACGCGTCCCTGACGATGTAGTCCAAGTCGAGCTCGTGAAGGGCTGCGAGTTTCCAATTTTGCCCTCCTCGACCCACGGTGCAGGAGGACCAAGCCAGCGTGTCCTCGAACACGACGAACACGTGGCGGTCCTGCTCCACGTCATCATCAGGGGAGGAAGAGATGACGGTGCGGAAGATGGCCGGCTCGTTGTCCTTGTTCTCCAGGGTGAGGTCCGGGAGGGACATGTGGGCGGAGGTGATTGGGTTGTGGAGGTAGAAGCGGAAGAGGTAGGTGTTGTTGCGGCGGCGGCGGTTCCCCGGGTGGAGGAGGAGCAGCCACCCGTCTTTGGACCCCACGCACTGGTTCCTCGCTAGCTTGTCGCTGAAGGAGGCGGCGGCGGCCGGTGAGGGCTGGTTGAGGGGTTTTTTTGAGGATTTTTTCGCCGGCGTCGGGGGCGGCGGCGGAAAGAGGGAGGGGCGGGTGGGGGTTAGAGGGAGTGCGGGAGTGCCGACGGGGAAGAACTCGAGCGGGGTGCGGATGGGAGGCTTTGATTTGTGGGATATGAGGAGACCGGGTCGGCCATGGCGGCGGCGACGGCGGCGGGAAGCGGTGGCGATGGATCTCCAAGATTTGCAGACCTGGGAGAAGGCGATGTGGTCGGAGAGGGTGTTCAAGTGGTCGGTGTCTATCTTCTTGAGTATGGCGTCCGGCAGTTTGGAGTAGTCCATCTCTGCGGAGGAAGAGGGCGGCGGCGGAGCAATGGTTATAGGTGACTTAGATGAGATAGGTAGCTAGGGTTTTCTCCCATTGCTACTAGACCGGCATTTAGACTGCTACTTATATAGTTACCCTCAACAACGTGGCGAAGGTATGATGAAATAAATAATAAACAACAAGATAGAAGGTTAGAGTGCTAACACCAAATTTGTTAGTATGAATTATGGTCCATGGTGTTAATATTAACTTAAATTATTAGAAATATTTTCTTTTGTTGACTTTTTATGTCGAAGGGTTTGACCATAATCAATAATAATTTTAAATTTAGACGAACGCTTGTCATTTTAAAAAAATATATATAGGAGATACGAGTATGAATTACAAGTGCCATGAAGTATAACAAAAAAATCATATCAAAAGATAAACACGACAAACCACAACACAAAAATTATAAACTTAACCAGAAATCTCATAAAGCATACAAGAAAAATGTAAATAGCACACCATAAATACTATTAAGCTCAGAGCTCCAAAAGCTCATAAAGCATACCAGAAACATCATATAGTTGACCACAAGGTTTCTAAAACAAATCAAAAAACTTATAATGCTAACCACAAGTATTATAAAGTAGACCAGAAATAAGAGAAAGCACACCACAACTCTTATAAAACATACCGGGAAGACTAGGGGCGAAGCTACATGTAAGCTTGCGGGGGGCCCGACCCTTCGAGAATTTCGAAGATCACGTGTAAATGTAATTTTGAATGTTACGAATAAAGTATGTGAAATTGATAAATAATTTAAGCACACAAAATGGTTAAATTGAAATTGATTATAGTTCAACGGATTATGTGTTGCATTAATGTTCTTTGGACAAGGTTTCAATTCCCCATGGAATAAATGTTAGGGGTTGTCAGATTCATAAATCACAACCCACTTCCTAGCTCTTGGATACGCGCTCTCTCTTATTTATTTTTTCTTTTTTTCAAATTGACGGTTAAGATTAAAGAAGGGTATTTTTGGAAGGAAAAATTTACTACAACCAATCATTCACCCTCCCATATAAATAAAAAATACTCTAACTCCTCCCTCCCATCCTCCTCTCTCTGCTGCAGACGACATTGTCGCCGTCGAGATCCGCTGTTGTTGTGGCCACCGAGCTCCGCCGCTGCCGCCGCCGCCCTCCGCCTCCCTCCACCCCTGTCGTGCCCTCCAACGACGTTGTCCCGCAACCTTCCGGCTCCCTCCAACCCCTGCTGAGCCCTCCAACGTCGCCCGCCGCGCCGTCCACCTCCCACTACTGTCGCAACCTCTGTCTCCCACCATCATTGCCGCCACAAGTTCACCGCCTCTCCCTTTCCTCATCCCCTGATTTTTTTTCCCGGATCTTTGATTTTCCAGATTCCAAATCTGATTTTTTGTGTTAGTCTCTAGTGGCCGCGTACCACTATCACTGGTAGCGTATTACTAGTAGTGGTACCAGTGATAGTGGTACGCTAGCGTACCACTAGACGAAAACACTACCTCTAGCCCACTGACGGAGTGATACTTTTTTTGCAGGTGGTCACAGCAAGTACGATTGAAGGATTTCACCGGAGAAAGTTTGTCGGTCGGAGAAAGTCAGCCGATGGGGGCGGGGTCGCCGGGGGAGGTCTCGTTGCTGTCTAGTCCGACTGACTGTCTCTGCTTTGTCTGGGATGGAAGAAGGCGCGGAGGAAGGCGAGGGCGCGAGTGGGCAAGCGATGTCGCGCAGTGGAGGTGAGGGTGCGGGGAGGCAACGGTGTCGGGGTGGCCAGGCGGGCGACGACGTCGTTGTGCCGACGACGAAATTGGATTTCTGCTTCGTCTGCGCGCAGTAGCTGGTAGGATGAGAGATCGAGATGGAGGTGAGGCGAGAATGGGAGAAGGGGAAGGGGATTAGGGTTAGCGGATTTTGTACTTTTGGGTGGGGCGGCGTCGTTTGGGGGAGGGGGGGTTGGGGAAATGGTTCGGTTAGCCGGTTAACCGACCTATCTCTCCAGACTCCAGCCATCCGAACACCAACCGAACATATGGTAAATTGGCTATCGGATAACCGAAAACTGTCGGTTATGAATGTTAATCGATGGTTAACCGGTAACCGATAATCGATTTATCAACCCTAGGACCAACTGGTTCTTTACATGGTATCAGAGTCTTCTGTAGCTGAGAGGTCTTGTGCTCGAATTCTTGTGGCCCCATTTGTGAAGCACATGTATTCTCGTATTCAGTACATGTTCAAAAGAAAACTCTTATGAGTTGACTGGCTTTCATTTTAGGGGGTGTGTTAGTGTGAGGTATAAGATCCATTATTGAACCTCTACCTGTTGGGAATGAATAGCTTTGAAAGCTATATTGAATTAATTATCCAGTTTTCTTTCTAGATACGAAAATAGAAGGATAATTAATAAAAAGAATATTATGGAGATAATTAGAATTAATTATCCTAATATAATATATTTTAATTATGGGAGTAATTATCTCCCTAATTAATTATGACTTATTCCCAAAGAAAGAGGGAATATTCTGGGTTTTCTGCTCCTATAAATAGGAGACGCCCCAGACCCTCTAAACACACCTCAGAGAGCAGAAACACGAGATAGAGAGTGAGTTCATAGAGCTCCGGTTTTCGCACAAAACCGATGAGCAACAAAAATTAGAGTGGTTGTTTTATCCTGGAGGCGACCGGCTAATAGTCTGCCGTGCGCAACGAAGGCAGTGCCGCGAACGTCTTAAAGAGAGCGACCTAGTCCGCGACTCAGCCATATCGGTAACCCTAATTTTTCTGTTCGGTTTCTAATAATTTTAAGACGCTTGGTGGCTGCCGTTATGTACCGAACAGGATACCGATTCTGGCTTGAGCGATTTCCATAGCCCCATGGCTTACCGAGCTTGGTGGCGGTCGTTGACTTCGAGATTGACCAGCAGCCTCGAAGTTGTCTTCAATAAAAAAGTGACGTCGTCGCTGTGCAGAAGGAGAAGCCCTCGGACGTTCTGATGTCTCGATTTTTGGAAGCTTATTGGAATCCGTTCTTGGTTTCCGTCCTCCGGTGGATCGAGCCAAACTTCGTCCTCGCAGCTGTGTCCCAAAAATTAGAAGAGGCGCTGAGGCGTGATTATAACCGTATCTGACGAAATTTTGGCTCTTATAATTGAAGCTACATGTTCGAATTGATTCTTGAAATCACGAAAGGCGGAGAAGAAATCAGAAGCAGCCACAAAATCATGATCGGCACAAACCCTACGCAGAACGAAAGATGGAGAAAAACCAAAGGGCGCCGTTGGTTTTGTGCCCTCAACTCCGTCTCTTGTCCATTTGATTATTCTTATAAAATTAATTGCTCTTGTCCATAAGTCCCAGCCTCTGTGCTTGCGGTGGGAAAAAAAAAGGAGAGGTATTTTGTCTTTTTTGTTTTGCCTTTCTTTGCTACAGAGGAATGGTGGCGGAAGGTGAAAAGGTAGAATTGGGCAGGAGTTGTAAGCTAGGTGGGAGCAGAATTGGATGGAAGGGTTTCGTGGAGACAGAGCAATCATTCCACCTCCCCCGCCCCAGCTTTTGACTGGGCTTTGAATTACTTGAAGTTCAGGCCCAAATATAACTGGTTTGGACGGTTCAAGTGGAGAACCGAAGACGTTGGCTACAAGTGAATTCGGTCCATGGCAAGTTGGATCCTTTCATTGTCTAGTTAAATACCAAACTGGGCCAAGTAAATGAAGGAGCTGTTCCTCGTTGTCTCTTCCGGGGGGGCTCGCTCCTTACAGCGCGGCTGCAAGACTAAATTTGCAGATAAGATGCTCTAAATAGCAGCCGACCGAGCCTCAAGTTCATCTAGGACTCAAAATTTGAGCCAAGTGGAGAAGAATCAGACATTGAACGAGAGGAAATAATGTATTGACTGGGACGTAAGGAAAGAACTCGAGCTAAGAGTTACGTCAATTAACTCTCGAAAAGAGGTAAGATTCAGAACCTCCTATATATATGAATCATTATGATGAATGATAAGCTAGAATCTATTTCACTTGAGTTCTATGCATGGTATTGAGAAATCCATACTAATGCGAGAAAGTAAAATAGAATTGATGCATGTATATGTGGACATTGAGATGTATTACCTCGATGATTAGAGTATAGATAGAATACATGTTATGGAATATAATGGTTTTGTTTAAATGCATGCATATATATGAAGAATATATGGGAATAGAAGGGGTTAATTTCCCATAGTGACGATATTGTAAGAAGTACTATTGTTAGTACTACACCAACCACTTAGGTTGCTGTGAAACATTAAAGTTTCAAGAATGAGAGCAGCAAGCTGAACCAGATCCACACCAATTAGAATGGTACCCATCGTGGTAACCATAAGATTGTCACACAATTCCATAAGAATGACGCTATGTTTCTCAATTAAATTTGAGAAAAACTAGGTCATATGACACGAAAGTGTTAGAGCAAGTTTAACATAGTATTGTGTTAACTTGATTAAAGAAGAGGATTTGGCAATAATAATCACTGAGGTGATGACAGAGGTTAGCCTTAATGGTAACTCTGAAAAGTGGTTGTTGGATAGGACCGCCTCAAGATATGTGTGTGATAAACGAGCTAAGCTCAATCATACATTGACGCATATTGAAGGAGAAAGTGTTGTTGGGCAAGACCCTCACCACTATTGTTGATGGTTCTAGAAAAGTGGAAGAGAACCCTGCCTCTAGAAAGTCATTGACTATCCTAGATGTAAGGAATGGTGAAGTAGATAAGATAAATTCTTCCAAGTGTGTTTTTGTGAAGAATTAGAATATCTTATATCGCATTCTCATATTATTATTGGATGCTTGAGAAAAATATGAATTTTGTATATTCAAGCTAAATGACCTATAAATATGTGGTTAGAGAATCAGAATCGATAGATCTTATTTTTTTTGATATGGGTAAACTTGATGGAAAAGACAATAAATGATTTATTGCTCTTTAGAGTGCTCTGGTTGTCTAACTAGTTATTAGAAATAGTTTGAAATGCCTAGTTGCATTATGATTGCACTGATTATTCGATATGTGGCATGCATGTGGTAGCATTAGAGAATCAGTGACATGATAACTAGAAGAGCATATGAGTGTGTAAGTTATTGTAAAACACATAAGCCTATGAAATGAAATACTCATTAGTTTGTGAAAACCATTGATGCCAATAGAATCCATTTATATTAAGAAATAGTGGGGGTGATATCCTGCCTACTATTAGAGATAATGGATAACTAGTGGGGGTGATGAATCTGAGTATGAACTCAGAAGAGACAAATGAACCATAAATCACGAAAGGATTTTGGTTATGAATTTGTTATTTACACCCTAAGAAAGAAAGATCATACAAGTCTGCTAGAAGTTCGAACTTCCATAAAGATGCAGAATTGTGGGAGAATCCATTATTAACGAAATGGAACTATTGGAGTCTAATAAGACTTAAAATCTTGTAGAGTTACCTCTTGGTTGAAAAGCCTTGGGTAATATCTCGATAGAATCGAACAAGATTTGGGATCTTTGAGAATTACCTCTTGACAATGAAGTCATGGGTAATAAATGGATTCTTAAAAGAAAAGTGAAACCTATTGGTTTAGTTTATGAGTATAAGGATCGCCTAATAGCTAATGCTTTAAGCGAAAAGGAAAAATTGTAAATTTTCTTGTTATCTATTCACCATATGTAGAATAACATCCAGGTATGTTCTGATTGCTAGTGTTGTGCGTCAGATGGATTGTTAAACATGTTTCTGTGAATGGTGATTTAGATAGGAAAATCTACATGGGACAACCTATAGGGTTGTTATTCCTGAACATGCTTAAGGAGTCTATAGTTAGACAAATCATTGTAAGATTTGAAATAGACTCTAAGACGATGGCATGAATAAACTGGTTCTCTCTCATTGTTTTAAAAGTCAAAGTGACAAGTGCATTTAGTACAAATTTGAGAATGACACTTGCATTATGAATGACACGTCGATCTTTGGTACAAAGTCTCGTGATGTCAATATTGAAAACCATGATGGTTGAGAATTTTGAATGTAAAAAGATCTGGATGAAGCAAGTGTTATGCTCTGAGATCCAGATTACTAGGACAATGAAAGAGATTTCATCTAGATCAGTTTAACTAAACAGTTAGATCTAGAGGAAATACGAGTTCTACACCTGCATAAATGTTTGATGGTGCTAGTATAATTTTTAAGAGCACCAAAGACGGTGTAAGAAAGTAAGAACATACTAGCATCGACAGTCTGCGAGAGGCAGCTGATAAACATGAGACCCGACATAGTGGGGGTGCTTGGCAGGCTTACTGATTGTCCTAGTATGAAGCATTGAAATGCTATTGAAAGGGGTCATGAGACACCTTAAAAGAACAGAAAAACCTTGGTATTTGTTATCAAAGGTTTTGCTGTATTGGTAGGGTATAGTGATGCGGATTAGAATACCCTATAGAGGACTCCAAGACAACAAGAGGATGTGTTTTAAACATCGATAGAGAAGTTGTGTCTTGGAAGTCTAAGAAAAGGAAGTAAACAATCTTGGCTCAATCAACTATAGAATCAGATATGATAGAACTAGCAATGGCTAGTAAAGAAGAAAGTTGATTGAGAGGGTCATTACTAGAGATTCCCTTATGGGAAAGACCGTATCCGCCGGTATTGATCCATTGCGATAGCAATTGCTAAATAGAACCGTAACAAATGGTGAGAGGCGACAAGTTCGTCATGAGAACAGTACTGGAAGAGAGAGTCCCTAACTGTTGGAGTAGTAAGGGTGGATCACTTAAAAGAGAATCTAGTTTATTCTTTGACGAAAGGATGAACTTGAGATTATAAAAGAATCTAGTTGGTCCTTTGACGAAAGGACTAGCTAGAGAGAAAGTCCAAAATACCACGAAGGGTATGAGACTTATGCCTACCGAACCATGGATTACAAGTGATGGTAACCCGACCCGATAGACTGGAGATCCCAAGAAACGGGTTCAATGGGTAATAACAAGTCATGAGTAATATTGAGAAAAGTTCATGCATAGTGAAGCATGAATCCCAAAGCCTTGGAGGTTGAGTTAAAATCTTAATGAGATCTATACTCTATGTGGAGTGAAGTACTTTACTTTGGGGGTACTTCTGATAGACTCACCTATGTGAATGTGGGAGTGGGGCCGCTCTCTATGGAACTTTGGAGGCACAAAGTTGCTAGAGCGTTCACTAAACCGGGATAACGTGCATGGCCATAAACGCACGGCCTATGAGAGAATATCACTCAATGAAAAGATCCGGTGTGCTACATTGTCTGAGATAGGGTTCAAGACTACGAGTCACCCTTATGAAATCGGAAGTGTAACCACTACGCTAAGGTTCAAATCTTCGCGATACCTTAGCTTATGCCCGATCTTATGGATCTGTTGATGCTCAGAGATAGTTTCAAAACTATTCAAGTGGGGGATTGTTGGGAATGAATAGCTTTGAAAGCTATATTGAATTAATTATCCAGTATTCTTTCTAGATACGAAAATAGAAGGATAATTAATAAAAAGAATATTATGGAGATAATTAGAATTAATTATCCTAATATAATATATTTTAATTATGGGAGTAATTATCTCCCTAATTAATTATGACTTATTCCCAAAGAAAGAGGGAATATTCTGGGTTTTCTGCTCCTATAAATAGGAGACGCCCCAGACCCTCTAAACACACCTCAGAGAGCAGAAACACGAGATAGAGAGTGAGTTCATAGAGCTCCGGTTTTCGCACAAAACCGATGAGCAACAAAAATTAGAGTGGCTGTTTTATCCTGGAGGCGACCGGCTGATAGTCTGCCGTGCGCAACGAAGGCAGTGCCGCGAACGTCTTAAAGAGAGCGACCTAGTCCGCGACTCAGCCATATCGGTAACCCTAATTTTTCTGTTCGGTTTCTAACACTACCAACAACTTGAGTTATTGGGATCAACTAGTTCTTGACAATATTAATTTCCCTATACATAATAGAGGTACTGGATGGCACTATAATTTGAAGAACCTGTGTTGGAGAGCCTGCCCGCACACCACAAGCCCCGACCCTGGGAGGAACTTCAAAGTGAGGGGAATGGCTCTAGTGAGGTCAACTTTTTTTTTATCAAAGAAATGTGCAAAGTATCCTTACCTCATAACATTAATGTGACGGAGTCTAGATATGCCCATAACGCAATACATGATCTATTGGTGGATCTCAGGGTCAGAAGAAGACATAAAGTGAAAATCAAAGGGGACCGAAAAACCCTCTTGAGCCAAACAGTCGGCTATAAAAATACTCACACTAAACACTTGGGAGAGATGAACTACCTAGTCTCTTTGTAAAAAACTGCAAAACTGAAGCAGATTCGTGTACTGGTGCGACGGCTCATCCGTCGCTTTGAAATTGCTGATGTCGGACCGCCCACCATGTCCAAGCTGCGAGTGAGGTCAACTTTGTGTGGGAGATGATGAAAGGAAGTTTTTTTTTGGTTTTGGATTAGTGATTTTGATAATGTTTATTCATTGTTAGTTCCCCATTGGCATTACAAATTCCATAAGGGTGCGTTTGGATAACTGTATTTTAAATGTAAGGTATTTGAAATACTAGCATTTGAAATGAATGTATTTGAAATATTAGCATTTGAAATACATGTAATTCAAATTCATTGTTTGGATACTCATTTGTAATTTGTTTGTATTTTGTATTTTACGATTTTCAATTTGAATTTTTAAATTTCTGGTCACTTACTACAAATTTTGGTAAATTACAGTTTGGTACCCAAATTTATTTTTCTTACAATTTAGTACCTAAAATTTTAAAATTTTAAAAAAAGGTCCTGAAATTTTGATGATAAAATTACATTTTGGTACCTTTATATGTTTTTCTTCACACTATAGTACCTAAACTTTTCATATTTTACAAATAGGTCCAATTTTTTGTTATGAGGTATTTCAAATCACTAGTTGTTGAAATGTATTTGAAGTTGACAAAAAATACACTAGACGTGTATTTGGAAATCAACCCATGAATTTGACACAAATCCAAATACCAAATGTAATTAATATCCAAACACATGATTTGGTATTTGGAAATCCAAATCACAAATACCAAATCCAAATCATTGTATCCAAACACACCCTAAAAATGTTGTGAAATTGAAAATTCTGTCTTATCTTGTCCCTTTTGAATTAGTTCGTTAAGAATTAAAAGATCGATGAAAATGAATTGATCGCCCTGATAACGTTTTTATATAATTTTATAAGAGAATACAAATAAGTATGTGTGTTGCTACTATCGAAGAGATGAAGACACGGCTTAGGATGTTTCTCAAGGCTTAATTGATTGTGCCGGATCAAGGCATGCATGACAAAGGAGGTTTTCCACAGAGAGTAGTATTCAACAGCATTGAAAGGTGAAAACGGAGGGGTGACGTAGTTTTACTGACCACAGTATACTTCCACTTCAATCAGAAAGTCCCACACCATCACTTGCAACAAACCGTTCTTGATATATAGCCCTTAAAATCAATGGCCAGAACTGGTTGCAGATATCAATATCAGCCATCATTTCTAACTTCCACTCTAAAGACTAGTTTGTGTCTTTTATCACCAAAACTGCTGATTTGCAATTCATCTACTCGCGGTCACAACTCGTCTTTGCTCCCGGAGTCCTCGCCCATCAACTCTTCGAGTGAGAACTCGTCTTCTTCCATGATCTCCCCATCTTTACCATCCCATGGCTCGGTCTTCACGATCTTTGGTGTGCCTTCCAATGGCAGGTTTCCTTTTCCACCACGCCCTGCTTCCTTAACGAAATCTCTGGGGAAACCAAGAGAGATTTTTGTTTGAGATTATCATTGTGGGTCATGCCAAGGAATTTTGCATTTTGGGAATGAAACTTAGAACTCACCTGATGTGTTCCAGCTCATAGGCACTTTTAAGCGGAGCGTATACTCCTTTCTTCACATTCAAGGCAACCAGAGCTGGGTACCCATATCCACCTACGCCAACGCTGTTCTCAAGATTTGGTTGCTTGCCAGCAGCAGCCCAGACATAACTGCAGGGATTTATGGACAACAATTAGTACAGATGGTATGTTTATTTTGGCTAAGTAACTTAAAAAATAAAGTTACGACTTAGAAGTTAAAACAGCCACATCCATTCAACGTAACTCTTCAAAACAACTATTCAGTCAAATTGTTTAAGTTTAAAAGACAATACTTCACTAGTCATAATTCATTTCCTGTGTTTCCCTTTTCATTTAAGAATGTATTCTTTAAGCTATACCCCCTTGAGCATAATCAAAGCTACCAATCATTTTCAGGTGCGATCATACCAGCACTATTAATGCACCTGATCTCCGACCTAAGCTAACAATCATTTTCGGGAAGGGATAGTGGAAGGGGTTAGACTGCTTGCCTGTAGGGGCTTCTTCTGAACTTCTCTGCAACTGATAACAATTGGTCGAGGTACTTGTTCCTTCCTTCTGCCTTGGAGTCCAAGATATCAGGCAAGAATGACACGAAACAGATGGCTGCTGAACCACACTTCTCCTCCATGACGTCCTGTGCAAAGAATTTTGTGGTTATGTATCAGGAGTTAATGGAGGATTAACCAGGAGTAAAGCCTCTCCGGATAGTCAAAGGGCATACCGGGCCAGTCAACTCGGTTACTTCAGGTGGAGCAACATTTGTTTCCAGCTGCTCCAGAGCGAATGACTCAATAGCTGAGGCTGTTCTAGCACCCTCATAAGGCATTGGGCTGTCTTTGTCAGCTCCAAATATCATGATTGTTGGAAATCCTTGAATATTGAACCTGCTCATGAAAGACTGAAAAAGGACAAAGTACTGTATTAGTATAATCCTATTGTGGAATTAGACCCTTCCAGAAAGAAAGCACCAGAGAACAATCACATCAGTAAGGAAAAATGAATAACTAAAATTCTCTATTTGATGTGCTTAGCTACATTATAATCCAAACACAATTGGTCATATCTTGGTCAAGCAGTAAACATGTACAGGTAGATATTAAACTGAGATATGACACCTAGGAGCACATAATACATGTTTTCCCCCCTCTTTCAAGCTGTGTACATGGAGCAGTTTTTATCGTTTGATATGTAACTGAAAATGAATGATGAGTTCGTTAGTAGAAAATACAAGATTAACTTTACCTTCTCTGAGTCGCAGTCAACATGACCCAGTTTCACCTTCCCCTTCAAATTACTAGCTGCCTTCTTCCACTCAGGAGCCAACTTTTTACAGTGTCCACACCTTGAACAGGACCAGAAAATGATACTCAAAACCGTATTATGAAATGAACAGCTCAAGAAAGCCACATTGTTTGCATACTGCAGTGAATTGCTTGATGCTTAATTATTTGGTGTTAGAGTTCCACTATATGGATAAGCCTGAGGCATGAAATCTTAACAGATTCCACATAGATGATTGCTAGTTCTAGGTCCAACGTGCGTAACAGGAAATCCGAAAATACAACATAAATTTCAAGCAGACATGACATACTGTGCAGCAGAATCTCTAAAATACTTACCAGGGAGCGAAAAATTCTACAATCCAGAGGTCTTTACTTTTGATCACCAACTCATCGAAGTTGCGGGCGTTCAACTCTACTGAGGCATTTGGTTCAGATTTTTCACTAGAACCACTGGTTGATTTTCCATTCAACCGGTCCTTGAGAAGTGCCTTTATCTGCACAAGAACTGATGGTGAGACTGAGAACATCATATATAGGTATAAAGCTTTGCAGAGAACAACAATGGATCATATCGAACCTGCTGGAGCCCAAACTCCACGATTGGTTTGGCCTCCCTAGCTCCTTGGTAGTTCACAGGTGGCTTGCCAGGAGTAAACACTTTTATTGTCGGAAAACCTTGAATTCCATATTCCTGCAAATACGAAACTATGACACATTAAACACTCACCAAAACAGAACACGAAGACTCGAAAACATTCTTTTCCAGACCCGCAAGAACTTTCTCAGCAACACACGCAAACTGAGTCCAGTAAGCATCCATTGGAATAGCAAATTACCTGAGCAAGGCCCTTATGTTCGTCAGCATTAACAGCTGCCACGGTTGCCACGCCTTTCAAGACTGTGGCAGCTTTTTCCCACGCTGGGGTAAGAGCTTGACAATGGCCACACCAAGGGGCGTAGAACTCAACTAGAACAATTCCATTGGAGTTTAGAACCTGAAGTTCACAGCCTCGGTTAGTTTGAATACAATGACAGGATCCAAACAGAAAGCCACCACCTTTACATAACATAACTTCAAAAGTTCACATGAAAATCAGCTTGTAACCTACAAAGCAACCTATTTCAGCGAGAGCTGCAAAATTTTGCTAGAGATAGACTAACCCGTTTCTCAACTAAACAATGCTCAAATCCAGAATCCAGGCACTGCTATATATTCACTCTCAAATTCGGAATCACCAAAATTCTACTATAATTCTCGCAAAGCTTCAATGAACTCAGGTGAAACAACCTCAACCAATTCCACAACTCTCCAATTGATAATGCTAAAACCTAATTATGAAGATTCAAAATGGAAAACAAATGCTTTGACAGAGCTTTACAAGCCCGATCTGGTCAACAAGATCAAAAGCAATGGTAATTAATCTGAAAGTTCGGATTAAGGCAGACGATCACACTTCTTTGCATTCCCATTTTCTTCTTCTTAAGAAACAAAAACCATATACTCAGTTCTTCTTTCCTTTATACTGGTGTGTTTACCTTGGACTTGAAGTTGGAAGGAGTGAGCTGAACTACCGGAGTGGACGCACTGTAGAGTGCAGAGCAGAGCTTGGATGCGAAGAAAAGCAATGAAACCGCCGCCAGAAGTGGCAGCGACAGCGATCGGGACCGGAACATCTTCTTTTTTCGTCACCTTCTCCACAGTTCACTTCGAATCACAGTGGGCAAAATCGGAGCAACCTTTCTCCCTCCGGGAAATGGGGCGGGACGGCTGAGGAGGAAAAAAACGTGGAAAAACTAAAAACCCTCAGATGCGACTGCGAGCGAGTTACGTGTGCGAACCAATAACAGGTTGCCACGTCATTATCTCTCCGACGCCCGGTCTTCTCTCTCATGAAGTAGTTCCTGGCAGGATTATGTATTGCTTACGCCGCCATGGCAACACGTGTCCAGCCCACCCCGTGTTTCTCTTTGGATATCCTCCAGGCCTGGGCCTAACTCGGCCCGTATTGGCTTCAGATTTGATGTCTACTTGTCTAATGGGTGGCCTTTAATACGTGTGTTAACTTGTTAGTCGGTTCAATTATAACTGTAATTTTTTATGTGATTATCGGTTAATCATTAAGCAATTTTCGCTTATTATTAACCATATTGTTTATATTAGTTGGTTAATTATAATAATACAATCGATTTTTTGTTTTCGGATCCGTCAATTTTGCAAATAAGTAAGACAACCACTTCTTCCTGATGTGGGGTAAAAGAGAATGACATGGGATTATTTTTTTATAATGGTGATCGAAGTACATTAACTAAATAAAAAGCGAGAACAATAGTACGAAATTGCATTGGCTCAGAATGACTGAACCAAAAACAACAACCACAAACCAAAGGAAAAGAAAAAGCAACTAAGTGGACCGAGCGAGCCACTCCTGTTGCAAAGAAGAAAACCAGAAAAAGAAAAGAGAGAACAAGACCAAAATAAATGGTAGGGGGATTATCGACTACTATCTTAATCGGCTAACTATTTATTAAGAGATTCAACAAAATTAGACAAAAAAAAATTTATCGGTAGTCGAACCAACATAATGGCTCCCTTTTTCTTCTATTGAGCATTTTGTAGATTTTTCCTACATATTTTATGTGTTGTTGTATATTTTTTTTCATTGATTTAAGTATGGCTTGTTGTACGGCTATTCGGTTACGGTTACGCCAGAAGCCAGTTCAACTTATTGATGACCACACCGCTAACTTATAATCAGTTAATGATATGACCGTGAACCATCGATTATCGTTATGTTTATCTTTGTAGCGATTATTGATATGTTTATCAGTGTAACTAAAATATCAGCCCTACTTTTGCCATTTTAACTGCTGAACATCTTTTCCCTTAAATCACGTACTGCACCCTGGTATAGATTGTGACATCAACCCCTTCTCTGCACAGACACATTTTTTGACAACTTTGTAACGGTTGAGGTTGTTGTTATTTTGGGCTTTGGTATCATTATCCATAACCTCCACATAACAAACTGAAAACAAAAAAAAGATGAAGAGGAAAAAGCACACACAAGGCTCATGATGAGCTCATTAGCCTAAACGCCACAAATGCTTCCCCACACCCACACACACGATCCATGTGACATGCCCAACTATATATGAAGGCAAAAGGTATAGCAATCCTCTCCCACCAAATCCAAACCAAGAAAGGAAAGAATCCCATACTATTACGGTTACTTATGTTTCTTGGAGTCCAAGTAACCGTGTTAGTTTTGTACTAGGTTTACTTGTCCTTGTTTACCTAGTCTTGTTCGTCCAAGTCTCTCTATAAAAAAGCTTAGCCGAGTCTCATGTCAAGGCAAGCTTATAGCATCAGTCATCAATAAATCAGTAGTTGTGACCTCCTTCGAGCTCACCGTGGATTAGTCCTGTTCACATCGAACAGGGATATCACGTAAAATTCTCGTGTTCTGTGCTCGTTCAATTCCGCATCGTCTCAATTTCTACAGACAGGGGAAGAAAACCACATCTCAAAGTCTTAGAACAATGGAGAAGTTGGCCAAATTTGGTAAGAAGTTGAAGCAAATGATGAGGTTCTTCACCAAGAGCTGTGAGCAGAAGGATGCAGTTAGCACGTCGTTGTCGTTGTCGTCGTCCTCACCACCTCGAGCTGTTCATTGCGAGGAGTTGTTCGTGTCGAGAAGAGGGAAATCTAGAAATGATGGAGGAGATGATCATGATCCATTTCTAGCTGCTCTTGTTGCAGCTCAGAATCACTTCAGTCTTAGACCAAACATTTACATCTGACAGATGTATAAATGAAATGAAATGCTTTGGGAGATGTTTTTCCATATTGATTCTGCTTGAAAATTCAATGGAAAGTTGAAATCTTTTGTATGTTACAGATGTACAAAACAAGAAGTAAAATTTGCAGCTTTTTTACAATATCAATGGAGCTTGAAGAAGTCCATGATTGGACCATACACAACACTATGAGCATTCACACCAAAGACGAAATCTACATGAGCATAGGAGTCCACGAAATGGAGCACCAGCTTGGTGTCATCATGATCTTTCAGGTTGTCTATGAGGATTGCCATGTCATCTACATCGGCGAGCATGTCTTTGCCTCCATATGCAAGGAAGAGAGGGAAAGAAGGTTGAATCTTGGACATGGTGTAGGCAGGTGGAGTTGGCTGGTGATAGTGGTCCATGTTGTCTGCTTCATTTCCATAGTCAAACTTCGCTATGTTTCCTGTTCTTATCACTATTCATAGAAAAGAAAGTCAGGTATTTGGTTACAGAACAATTAGAGGTGTGTTTATCGACTGAGAGAGAAAAATAGAGAGTTACTTTGGGAGAGATGGACTATGTTCTTCACTGATGTTGGTTGAGGCTGATTGTCGAGGAATTGGTCGACCCTCGACGCATTCACGCAGCAACTAGGACCTGTGGTGGAGATAGATTACCAAGGTTAGAATATGTGATTGATATAATGTGTGTAGTTTGAAATGAGTTGATTGTCAGAATGCAATGATTTGAAATTGTGACAGCAAATACATCTGAAATGCATGTATTGCTAAAGATTATGCGCGAGGAAATTATGTATTGTCTGAAATTCATGCATTCTCGGGATACACCTTTCTATATTATGAAAACTGACAAGTTTGCAAGTGAAGTTACCTGTCATAGCAGCTACCAAGTCAGTGCAGTTGATGCCAGGTTTACTACAGACAACATCTAGGAACTTGGTAAAAGCCAGCCTGTTTTTACAGAAAATAAATAAAAAATAGCACTGGTTAACGAATGGTGTGCCATAAATTCTAGGTAATTTAGAGATTCCCCTATGTTATAATTTCTCCTTACCCTCCTTTCAGAAATTCCCTGTATCCAAGCTTATATATGTCCTGTCCCAAAATGCAATGCCAAAACATGGTAAAAGAGAGTGAACATATTTGCAGATCATGATTAAGCACTTCGAAAGAATCGATGAAATCTCAGACCTCGGGCAAGTACATATCAGCAGCGATTTTCGAAGGCGAAGTGATGTGGTTAAGATGAGCAATTGGACAAAGCAAAGCTGCTGATCTTGTCATGTTCAACAAGTCCCCTTCTGCAAATGCAGCCAATGCTGTCAAAGTCCCCTGACAAACACAAAAGAAGAGGGTTCATTTCCTTAATTATCATTAGTTTCAAGAAATCATTAATTAACAGAACAAAATGGATTGATTAAGGATGTTTATTCAACTCACCAAGGAATGTCCGATGTAGTGATGTTTCTGTTGTCCCGTATGATCATATACATATTGGAACACGGCAGGAAGGTCATAATCTGCTAGCTCTTCCCATGACCATTCCCAGTAAGCCTGCGTGCAATATATGGTTAAAACATAATTAGCAGACGAACTCCACATTTCATTTATTAGAATTGAAAACTCAGGCCAGATTGTTAAGTTAATTACTCCATCATTAGGGCTCAATGATGTGTGGCCTTGGCTGTGTATCGTCCCACGAGTGTTGGCAATCCAAACATCGTAACCATCATCGACCAACAAGAATGGCAGAGATTCAGCAGGGGAATTAAGCATCCATGTTGCACCATCCTGCCATGGAAATTTACAGTGGTAAAATAAATCTCATGTTGGTATTATGTCTAAGCAATTAATATGAGCAAGTTTGGAAAGGTTCTACTAACACTGAACAATCCGTGTTGGATAAGGACTGGTGGTTTATAAGCATTCTTGCCAGACTTAGCTACTTGCATTCTCTGAATCCCAAGTATGTAACCATCTTCTGTTGTCACCTGAAAAATAGATCAGCAAACCAGAAGCAAATCTTAGAAACTCGAGAATCAGTTCAGCCATAAATTGTTGATAATTTGCATAGGTTATCAGAACTCCCGAACACGAACATTTTGGTCATCGAACACTCTACTGCCATATAGACAACCGGTTCTTCTCGATGAGTCAAGTTAATTCGAAGAAAACTAGAAGGAAAACAAGGACTTTACCTGATGTTCTTCACATGCATAGCCTTGCGATTCGACCATCGATTGGCAAATGCCGCCATCATCAACCCAATGAGCCACAGATTTCGAACCCTCATTGTTGCCTATATAAAGCTTAGTTCTTGCTGCAAAACATGTAGCTGCTGATAACAACAGAACCACCAGAACTGAAACTGCAGAAGTCCTAGCCATATTTCGATTACTGTAATGACCAGTTAACAACCTTACTAAGTGATAATAAACTTGCTAAACCATCTTATCTTATATAGTCACCTCCTTGAACAAGATACAAACAAAAGAGTGATATGAAGGATCAGCAAAGGATTTTACTTAATTAATTACTGTATCATGTATCCATACCAAAGTCTGCATTTCCAAGGCCTCAAACTTGGTATTTTATGATGGTCAAGACAAATTAGAAGCAAAAGATTCTAAGGAAGCTCTTTCTCTATGTCTTATAATGTCCTGGAAATTTATGGTGATGTTGATGTGCAAGAAAACGGGCAGGGGAAGGATATGTTGGGAGAAGACAAACTAATAGCAAACTTGTTCATACATGGTATAAAATAGAGAAGTGATTGTGATAGTGACATCTCTTATGTCTAGACAAAGGTGGGAACATGTGGTTTAGTAACTTGGCGGTAACATCTACATAGATGGTGGAGTGTGAATATGATTCGTTTGTGTTGCAACTTACAAAGGTTTTTCTTCATTGCAATTGATAGACCGTTAATTACACATGTTTTCACCCCTATTCTTATACCGTTTGAGATGTGGTTTCTCGTGTTTTAGGCCGATTTCACGCTAGGTTGTACTTGTTTGTGCTATTTCAGGTCCTAGTACGTGAATTGAGGCTTGGGAGCGAGTTTGGGGGCGATTGGACGAAGATCGGACGCGTGGCGAGGTGCTGAGGAAGCCACACGGGCATTCCTGGAACCCACACGGCCGTGCAAGTCACCCTTGTGGCCGTGTGGTTTGTGCCGAGAGCAAACACGGGCATGGAGAAAATTCCACACGGCCGTGTGACTCTGGCCGTGTGGGAAGCCTGAAGTTCGACTTATCGAGACGCGGCGTTTTGGAAGCAACACGGGCAACTGGGTGAGCCACACGGCCGTGTGGACTGCCCGTGTGAGTCGGGAAATCTTGGTTTTTACCCAATTCCGAGCCACAAGTGAGAGAATCGAATTTTCAGAGCAAAAACAGAGTTTTAGAGAGAGAAAGAGCGAAGAACAAACCCTAGGAGCTATTTGGAGTGGATTTCTCACCATTGAAGCCCAGATTGCGTCCTCAGGAGTGAAGATTGACATCCCAGAGCAGATTTTCCTCATCTTTATGAGTATGACTACTCTGATTTCTGTTTTCCTCTCTCTCTCTCTCTCTATGGAGTAGAACCTTTCTCTCACTTGGGTATGAAGAACCCTAGTTTCATGTGTTAGGGGTTTGATTGTAATGACTTGGGATGATTATACTGTTTGGTTTTAATCGAATGATGCATGATTCATTGAATTGATTGAAGTCTGATCAGCTTTTCTTGATTTCTGCTGTAACCTGAGATAGATAGAATCTGATTAGGTTGTTAGAGCTACATCATTCGGTAGTAGGAGATTGGCTATACGAGAGTTAGTCAATTTACTGCTTTGTACTGGAATCCAATTCCAGTAGTGGAGTTCTGTGTTCATAGCCTCAGCTTTCTATCCCGGTGAAGACTAGTTGTCTGCCGGGTAGTTAGACTGAGAGGGCTTGGTCAGCTTAAGAGATTCCAAGCTACTGTCGGATCTTCCGCAGTTTAATAAACAGTAAATCAACCCAGGGTAATTACAATTGAAATCTAACTAAGGAGCTAGGGGGACTCATTTCCCGAGTGATTCTTCCCTGCTTTAGAAAATCGAACCATTTCCTGCTTTTGCCTGCTTTTACTTTAAACAACAATCACTCGACTTAGTTGGCTAGATAATAGATAATCACGGAGTAGGCAGTAGACCTAGACCCCGGGTTGATAATAGAACTTGCCTGTTACTGCATTCCCGGACTGCGATTACACTTGGTCGCAGTTTGGTGTTGTGTTTTGGCGTGTCAAGTTTTTGGCGCCGTTGCCGGGGAACCTCTAGGTTATTAGGGAAACGTGAAAATTTGTTACTCGAGCTTTTTCTTTACTGCATTGTTTTCTCTTCCACCTGTGTGCCTTCACGGGTTGCTTTTACTGGTTGTGTGCAGGTAGTGCATGACCCGTAGCCAGTCAGGAAAACTACTACCATTAGACCAGGAGCTTGAACGGACCTGGCGGAACTTCAAGCGAGCTCTAAAGGCGCGACTGGCTGCGGAGGAGGCGCTAGCTCAGCTACAGATCACTGACGAAGAGGAGATGGCTGACCCACAGGACCATGATGTGGTCATTCCAGAGGAGCAGACCATGGGATCCTACTGGACCGCCAGAGCCGCGGACATGAGGTCACCCATTCAACATCCTCATGTGCCAGCGAACAACTTTGAGGTGAGCACCTTAGTCATCACGATGCTAAGCACCTCAGTCAAAGACGGCGGACCTGCAGAAGCAAATCACCCACTTCACTCAAGACGAAGATGAGACCATCCGGGATGCTTGGGAGAGATACACCAGTCTCTTTCTCAAGTGCCCCAACCATGGTTTCACCGACGCCTTCAAGGTGGGCACCTTCTATCATGCTCTCTTCCCGGAGGACAAGAAACTGATTGACTCGGTCTGTGGCGGGAATATGCTCACCAAAACACCGCCACAGCTGAATCAACTTTTTGAAGAGATGGCAGAGCAGGGCTATGATTGGGGAACTTCCAGGAGATCGAGAAGAGCACCAGGGCGGGGTGTGCATGCTGTGGGCACCCAGTTATCTGATTTGGTGCAGGTGGTATCGAAGCTGGTTTCAGCTATCGATCGCTCTGGATTGATTGGAGGTACAGGACAGTCGCAGGCGATGCACTGCCAGTGGTGTGAGAGCTCCCATCACACCGTGGAGGACTGTCAGGCGATGAGGGAATCGTCTACTCCCCAGGAGCAGGTGGACTTCATTAGTAATGTCAAGCGCTTCGACCCCTACAGCAACACTTATAACGAGGGTGGCGCCAGCATCCTAACTTTTCTTGGGCTGGGGCAAATCCCAGACCACCAGCTCCCCAGGGACCACCGGGCTTCCAGAGGCCGCCATATCAGCCTAGACAGGGGCAATTCCAGCAGCAGCAGTCTCTCTACCAGCCCATGCAGGGGCATGCTGCTCAATCACAGCCGCGACCTTTCCAGCAGCCTGTGCAGCCCCTGCCACCCCAGTGCAGAATGATCCGATGGCTGAATTGCGGGACTTGGTGGGTTCTCTCGCCAGTTCTAGTGCTCAGAAATTCAACACTATAGAGCAGTTCATGGAAAAGGCCTCGGGTAAATTCCTGGCTCTTGAAGCTGGCCAAAGGAACACACAGGCTGTCTTGCAGGATATCCAAACCCAGCTGGGGAGCGTAGCTCGGGCAGTGGCACAAAGGGCTCCTGGTACTCTACCCGGTCAGACCATCCCTCATTCGCAGAACCCGAATGAGCACTGCAATGCCATCACAACCAGGAGTGGCAAGATGACTGCTGATCCACCTGTTCGGGCACAAGAGAGAGAGGCCCCTGCCTCGGAATTTCCAGCGGCTGAAGAAGAAGCAGAGAAGGAGGTTGAGGTGCCTGCGCCAAAACCGCAACCAGTAGTGAAGGAGTATATCCCTCAACTCCCCTTCCCTATTCGGTTGCACAAAGACAGGTTGGAGGCAGAGTTCGGGAACTTCATGTCCATGCTTAGGAAGCTGAATGTCCAAGTACCTTTCCTGGAGGCACTATCTCAAATGCCTAAGTATGCGAAGTTCCTGAAGGATCTTCTCTCAAAGAAGCAGAAGCTGAGCGAGCTGGCCACTGTGGAGCTCAGCGAGGAGTGCTCGGCTATTCTGCAGAACAAGCTTCCGCAGAATCAGAAGGTCCCAGGTAGTTTTACTATCCCGTGCTCTATAGATACATTGCATGTCGAGAGGTCCTTGGAGGATTTAGGTGCTAGTATCAATGTTATGCCGTATAAATTGTTCAAGAAACTAGGCCTAGGTGAACCCCGTGCTACTAGGATGAGCCTTCAATTAGCTTACCGATCTGTAGTGCATCCTAGGGGCATAGTGGAAGACCTTCTGGTTAAGGTTGGCAAATTCAATTATCCTGTGGATTTTGTTGTCTTGGACATCAATGAGGACACAGAAGTGCCCCTTATACTAGGAAGGCCTTTCCTGGCCACCGCCAAGGCTCTCATAGATGTGCATGATGGGACCTTAGTTTTGAGGGATGGCGAGGAGCGAATAACGTTTTCAATTGCTAATACTCTCCCTGCTTTGTCACCTCTGCATGTTGTTTCTCACCAGGAGCACGAGTCTGTCGTGTATCCTTCTGTGCTTCATATTTTGCAGGATCCGCCTCCCATACCTTCGCCGCCACTCCCGTCCACTCCGTCACCAAAGGAACAGATCGAGGAGGAGTGGCGGCCGAAACTGCAGGCAGCTAAGCCTGCTCGAAAGAAAGCCGACGACCACTATGAGCTGGTCCCGCCCCCACCGTGGCCATCCGAGTATTAACTCGCTTGCATCTTGCCGGATGGCCAAGTCGAGTTGGCGAGTGCTGGTGGGCACACCCGCCGTGTGCATGGCCACCACCTGAAGCTGTACCTCAAGAGCGATGTGGATCCGCTCTTGAAGGCACCTGATCCTACACTTCTCTGAGCATCCACCCACTGGCGTCCAGCTAAAAGACGGTAAAGAAGCGCTTGTGAGGAGGCAACCCCGCCTAGGTTTGCATTTTCTTACCCTTTTTCCTTTTAATTTTTTGTGTTTTTTGAGTCTTGAGGGGTTGTTCACGAGTTGTATGTCGTTCTGGAGTGAAAACAGGTCAAATTCGGAGTTCTGGCAGCCCACACGGCCAGCCCTGAAGGTCACACGGCCGTGTGCAAATGGGTTTTGGCCGTGTGGATTCTCTGGAATTTTCACACGGGCAAGAGGGGTCCCTTCACACGGCCGTGTGGATTTGGCCCCAGCCCATGTGAGCTCTTGCTATTTTTCACAAGGCCAGGTGTGCTTTGCACACGGCCGTGTGGAAATCCTCGGCTTGCCCGTGTCGGCCAACACGGGCACGTGTGAACCTCACACGACCGTGTCAG